TTATTTGGGAGTGAGGTTGAAGCAAAAGTGATGTCCGTTTTTATTACAAATGTCGCGCATGATAAGTATCAAAACTTTACCTCTTATTGGAGTGTTGGACATCACATTAACCAGGTTGTACTAATGCCTCTCAGCTCATCTACGTCTTGCTCTCAAAATTTCGTTGCATTGGCATTAACTAATATCCCATCTACAGACTGATTTAAGAATGCTTTAATATATGGGAATAATAATTGTGACAACGTAGGAAAGCAGTACAATCCATCCAATGTGGTCATAGCGAGGATTTTAACGTTTTCTGAATTCTTCGAGCTTGCTGTCAAAGTAGATCCCGCCTCAGCGTCTTGTCGGAGATTGGCTAAGAATTACTGTCTCAGGTCCATATTTGCCTGACTCTTCTCATTCCGAGGACTACATAATCATTTCGATGGCTATAGGCTGGCTTCATTAAAAAATGAGCTGGATTTATGCTTTGCCTCTTAATGTTACGATGATTAAAATCGACGTCTTTGCGTTCACATCTTGGCTTTGTTTAAATGCATTAAAACGCTCTGGCCCCAGCCTGACAAATTTAAAAGTACGCTGGAAGCGTCCATGCAGTGACCACACGGACCGATCACCAAGCAAGCACTCAGTGCCCAGGAGGTATTGTTGAAATTGCTATCATTTTTTTTTCTAGGGGAAATGCAAGCGTCCAAATTGATACAAAATCAGCTTATTGAGCTTCTGTGTTAAAGGCACTGGATGTCTTTCAAAGGTCTTAAATGAGTTTTACAAGACAAATATTGAAAGAGTAGAATTTGCCCGATTGAAGGGTCGTTATTCTTTTAAGGCGGCTGAGAAGGATGTAACTTGCCTCGGGATTCGCAGGTTTATCGAATTCATAGAGGGTGAAGAACCAGTTGTTGTAGCGGCGCCGACGCTGCAGCTGAAGCTTATACCTGGCCTTTTTCTCGTCCAAGTCGGCCGACGCGATTGTGTGCTGGCGGATGGCTGGGGACTGTTGTACTTTGTCCTCCTCGGCACTGGTATAGCTGTGACGCCGATTGGTCACTTCAGGGGCATGAGGCTCCATTGGTGGAAGGTACAGCGAATGACGATAGGTAATCTGAAACGATTGAGAGAGTTACATCGCACTGCTGGTTACAAATTTCCAGTTCTACTAAGCTTGGCTACCCTTTTCGTGACTGCGTGCTGCTATCGTGCAATCATTAAATGTGGATCTGAGAAAAACCCACACACGTGACCTTCAAGTTGCTCCTTATTTCTGATTAAAATTCAGACTTATTCCTCTCTGCATCCGCCGCCTTTTGAATATTGAAAGAAGGCCACATAATCAGCGGCAAGGAAATAGTCTGCGTAAACACCAAAATTGGCTGCATTTAATAAGATTTCCTGTTGAACGCTTGACTTACCCCTGTAACCAACCATATTTCTCCTGTGTCTTTTGTAATAAATGTAATCAGGCAGATCCCAACCGTGGTGATCAATAATGTACACCGCTACAACACTGAATCTTTGTTGAACTATTTCTTTCATCTGCAACATGTTTTTTTTGTAAAAAAGAAGACACTACTTCAGTAGTACATGTTACACAAAGTCAGCTAGCGGCACATCCTTTTGATAAGGATTGCGGTGAGGAGGTGAGAACTTTATCGTACTTGACTGAAACATGACCGCACAACTGGAATGATCAACTGTAGAGCAGTTTGAAATCAAATGGCTGAAAATTAACGAATACAAAGTGAATGAAGAGGAAAACTAAGAAAGCCCTACCGATTTATCAGACATTATCTGTCTTAAAATAAACAGATTTGCCAACAAGAAAGATCTTCATTAATTTCAGCTTGCCTTTTCTTCTGAATGGTTCGGCTCAAGATCTTTCCAGCTGACGTGTCGTTTCTTCAACGACTTTGGCTTCCGAATGCAGTCCACCGAGCTCCTTGTAACGATGCCAGCCACATCAGGGATGGCATGGTCGCTGCGGCGTTGTTGTCGAGGCGTTGAAGCACCCAGCGAGATGTAGGTGACCACCGTTCTGGAGTCGTCGTCGTCGCCACCAGCGACCGCAAGTTCGGGAAGTCGTCGAAAGTTGAAACCGCTGGAGGTCGGGGGTCCAGCCACGAGTTTCTCCAGGTGCGACAGGAACTTCAGACCGTAGGATTGATGTTCCAGGGCTTCGACTTGTGGTAAAAGTGACTTCCGGCGACGTCGACGGACTGGCTTTCTGGGCACAACCAGGGGAACGAAGTCGCTAGACGACCGTCTAGACGTGGTTGATGTCGACGTGGAATACTCCAATTCGCTTCCAATGGGCGTGACTAGACCCTTGTAACAGAGGCTTGACAGCATGACGCCGGTGTCTGTAAGTCTACAAAAAATCATCCTGATGGTAGTAATCCCGCCAGGTGGACAATACGTAGTATTTACCGCATAGGAAATTCCTTGATGGCTTTTAACTTTTGTGGCTTCCAGTAAGCTTTCTTGTCTGTTTAGGAAGCAGTTAACTTTCAACTACAAATGCATGCTATTTGGTTGGGGAACCAGCAAAAACAAGCATATAAGGCGAGAGTAAATGTTATCTACAGGTGATCAGCCACCAGTGCGCTGAAGTTATGGTGTGACGTGCACATTAGAATCGAAATTTTGACAGTACTTCTGGAATCGCCAGCTGACTTCGTCATGGCCTGGGATTTCTAACGCATCTTGAGCTCGGACAGGTTTTGTATTGCATATTAATTTGAATAACTTCTTGTGAATCGTGTTTGGTCGCACCCCTTAATCCGGTCGCTCCACCTCCGACACAGGGTTCCCCTTTTTCGCAGCATGTCGCCAGCCGCGCGGATCCTCAACTCCCCCCTCATTCACACGGATATTTATCTTGGATTATCGTCACACCTAGGTCTCGATGTTGGTGCACGTATGACTCACACATCTGAGGTATAAATACACACGCACAAACCCCACACACGACACAACGATGCCAACGTGGTCGAGCTCTGAAGTAAACGATTGTGTCCACGTTCTCTCCGGTCTTTTCCTTCATCGCGGGTATCAGGGAAGCGTAATCGGATCACGGTTAATTCCGTGGCCCCGGCGTGGTTCACGACCACATGCTGGGGCCCACAACAAGCACATGCAAGCAGATCCAAGCTGAGCATGAATCACCAGAATCTGCTTGGTTTTGACCTCTTTCAAGCGACGATTAGCTTAATGTACAGCCATTTGGTCTTAAAAGTCATCAAATTCAGCAATAATTTTTCGAGTAATGAGTTTAATTTGTGGCAAAGTCATCAAACTACAATGAAATGTCCCGGTAAATTGTTTTTAAAACCTATTTTTCCAGAATGGAGGTGATTATTTCCATAAATTCCTGTCCAAAACTCGTCATGTATGGGCAAGATTGTAGGCGACAGAACTGTCCACGTATTAGTCGAAAGCGTCTAACGCCGATCCGAATGAATGTGATGCTCATTCAATCGTAAGAACTGGTCTCCAGACAAAGGGGTCCAAGATGTATCACTTTGGCTGGATTCACCGTAAAATCCTAACCGAATCTGGTTCTTAAGTTTATCGATCTGGCGACAACCAACCATCGTTCGATTCTATCAATAAAACTATGTAATGCCCTGATGTGGGTCTCACACCCGAATCGATGAAGAGAGAAGGAATAGAAGGTGACAAATGACGTGAGTTTGAACAGGCAGAATCTGTGGTACAGAAACGTTTATGCGGCTGGTGATTAGAAATCGATAACGTTTAGTAATAATGGTATACAGCTAGACGAATCACAATGACTTAACACGATTCATCACAGCGCCAGCTTCCATTTAGCTTGCACGCTGATTGTGTCCTGTAATTGGCGCGGCACAAGCGCGGTCTACAGCGCAAATCGGATAGGCAGGAATTCACCTTGTCCTTTGAACCGATACACAACGCGCACAGCTACACGCACACACACACTTGTCAAATGACACGTTTAGGCGTAAGGTCATGTCCATTAAAGCTAAAATCACTCCAACACACGACATGACTTTCATGTGGCAGTAACTGTAAAAAATTACCGGACACGTGTGCAGTGTGTCGACATGTTTACCAGTTCCTCGTGTTTAACAAACTCTGATCCGTGCATTAATGCTAGGTTTATTGACTTCGCGCTTTTCCCAAGCCCACAAAAGCCGCGGAGTCTTCTGTTTGGCAGCACAAAGCCTCAAACCTAGACGGGTATTGCGTGGGGACAGGTTGTCGGTAAGGCGGCGTTTCGGATAACATCAAAATGGGAAAAAAAGCTTAAAAATTTTGCTGTTAACTTTCGTTCCATCTGCTCACATGCGCCTGCTGATCAGCGCACACGCTGCCGAACACGGCATCTGTGTGTGCACGAACCTCAAACATGGGAAATTGGTCTCATTTTCTTCAAATTAAAGCATATTTCTTAGTGTGCATGCTTGTTAATGGGTGAATGGATTGGTGGGTGTGAAACGCTCGTACCTGTGCAGTCATCCACATGCAAGTCTTAAAGGTTTACGCCCAATTGAATGTTAATTTGCATGGCCAATGCTAACACAGCCAAAGCATACATCTGAACGCTGCGCATTTCACTTTTGTGGCGTCGATTATGGAAATTTGTCAAGCCGCGCCGCCTTTACGTAGCTGACGGCTTCGTTTTAAGAAAAAGGTAATTGTTGAAAGTGCGGTAATCCTTTTACAAGCAGAAAACAAGTTCGAAAGTAGTTTCCGCAGTTCATGGGGCAGATTTTTGGCAATTATTTAAAATTTGCAAACTTAAGCCTCACTAACTAGACTGATTTTCGTGCTTAGAGGCCACAAATAACGTGTTTTCGAACAGTCTAGAAGACCGGATACTGGATGGTGTGGTTTGTTTCTAGTTTGTCCGACTACAATGTCCACTTTTGAACACATATCACAGGTGCATGTCCGCTGTTTCCGTTTGCATTTTCACTGATTTTATTTAATAAAATCCGAATTTGATGCAGCGAGAAAGGTATGAGAATCGCCACATTAATGCTCGCTTATATTCTTACCAGCCTGCCTCTCAATGCCTCACATACACCTTAGCCGCCCGGTAATGCATTCATCGGCCATAAAATTTTGCCTCTCTAAAAGTTGAATGTCAGTACTTTCCAGGGCATTGAGTTAGCGCTCCAAATGCTGCTGTAAACGTCTTACTTCGACACTTTTACAAGGACATCGGGATTGTGGGTGTTTGGTCAAAGGGGGCGTATTAAATTGATATGAGGCTAGCAACGTTTACTGCGAGAAGAATATCCAGCTAAGAGGACGATTCGAGAAGCTGTGCAAAGTCATCTACTGAACGTCTTTGCCAAGCCGTGAAGCACGCGCTGGCGACCTATTGAAACTGATGTCCAAAGCGTTCTGCTTAAATGAGAACAACTGTTGTGCTCACTGCAGTAAATCGTGCGAGAATGAAGACAGGGAAAACGGAGTTCCCTGAAACGACACCCAGCTTATGGATAGCGCCTTAGTCACCAGACGGAACAGATGTTCTCACGTTCTTGTAACCAGTTTAAGACGCCGATATTGTGAGAGAGAGCGCGGTTGGAGAGAGGGTTTGTCCTGATTCTGATAGCAAACCGAGCCCTTGACTCCGTCTACGTGTCCGGTTAGTGTGCTTTTAGCGACAAATCCCCTCACTCACCCACTCAATTCAAATACATTTTCCACTTGGCAAACGTCACTGCAAACAGAAGACGCGAATAAACTCTGTGTGGGGTCATGTGGAATTCTCAAACACGACACACTACAAATTAAGTGTGAATTCGGTCCTCTGTTCTTTGTGTTTTTGGTGAAAACACACGTTCGAGCCCTCATTAGTATCCTACCACATTGTGAAATTAAAACCTATAGTTTAAATGTGAAAACCTGGTCCAACACCCCGCAATAAGTCTTCAAAAGTCGGCTAGATTTTATTGCTTTCAGGTACGTTGGCAGGGCATTTCAAAAGAGATGTGCAGCTGTTCCGTGTACATAGCGAATTTACATGGGAAACGAAAGGAGCTCGGTGTGTGTACTCCATACGGAAACAGGGAAACGTGGAAAGTAAACTGGTAATACCAACTTGGGCGTCCATGTTGTGTGCGTGTGGACGTAGACGAACACATGCTACCCCCAAAGGATTACAACCCACTTGATGTTAACTTTCAGGTCGCATGTTTACGCGGCCACGACATGAAGTGTGTACATTAATGGAAACTTTAAAAAAAGCATGGATAAATTTTCAAATTGAGCTCTTTTACAGGATAGGTCGCGAAATGAAGGAATGATTTTTTTTCCATGGTGAGATTTTTTTTAAGAGAAGAGGGAACAAAACTCTCGCATTTATCACACACTTCCGCTAATTGAGAGAAATGATTTGTTCGTGTTGCATGGAGAGCACAGTTTAGCCTAGACAGAACTTCAACATGCAAAAAAAATTTACTTGGCATCATCTTTCCACTGGCAAAGGCCTACGGGGCTTCCCAATTAAAACAAAGGATCAAGTTATCCGTTCTTTTG